ATCATCAGGAAAACAATTTTGCATTGCTTACCAATCAATACTCAGGAAACCATTTTTGTTTAATGCTTAGAATCTTTCTTTAAAAGAAAAATCTGAAACATCTTAAGGGTATGTACACGGGAGGATAGATAGTGCTGAGGGTGTGGTTTTTAGGTATTTTGTCATTTGGATTTTTTGATGAGGATCCTTAATGTTTTGCATCAGCTTGGGCTTTTCAATTAGATGTGAAGTAAGACTTCTTTCTACATTTTTATAGTTAATTTAGTGAAAGATGTGAAAGTGAAAGCTTGTGAGAGATGCTGGGATTGGCAGCCCTGCAGACTGAAGTCCTCTGTTCATCCACAGAACAGGTACAGCACGGGCAAGATTTACCCACCCACCCTCAGCCCTGATCTGGAGGGACCACCAGTAGGGGTGGGAGGGTAATTCAGCTTCTGAGGCCCTTTCACTCCTTGGAGTCTTTGCTGAGGTGACTTACAAAGGTGACTACTGCAGTGAAATTTTTCTTAAAAAAAAATGGCAACACAATTAGGAACTAGATGGACATTTCCAACTCATTTGAAAGACCAGTGAACAGCAGTCAGTAATTCTTGCACTTCTTTTCTTATTTCAGATCCAAAAAGCTAATCCAAGAATCTGATCAGCACCTGAAAGATGTTGAAAAAATTTTGCAGAACGATAAACGGTATCTGGTTCTGGACTGTGTGCCAGAGGAGAGGCGCAAACTCATTGTGGCATACGTTGATGACCTGGATCGCCGGGGTCCACCCCCACCTCCCACAGCATCAGAACCCACTAGACGATCAACAAAATAGCTCTGAGCACTGTTCCACAGGAGTATCTATTCAAAATGCTTGCATGAGCCAATTTCAGGTTTTTACATATATGTGCATTAGTCAACCTATTGCAGAACCACCTGACGAACAGAAGGAGAAGCAGTTTGTGAACAGAACACTTCGGAAGTATTTATGCTTTTCTTTGTGTGGCATGACAGACATACATACTCAAATATAGGCTGTCTCTAGTAAATCAAATATTGAAGCTAAAAAATCATCCTTTTATGAGGTGTGGAAGTCAGTGACTTGGTGACGTTCTTTCTAGCAGTGTTACACATGCAAGACATAGAGCATTTGTGGTTTGAACTTGAAAGACACAAATACAGACTCCAAGAAAACCTAAGCTGGGGATTGTTTTGATTTTGTTTTTTAAAGCGGGTAAAAGAGAAAACACTGAAAATTGAATTCTTCCAGGGGCTAAGATTATTATAATGGACACACTTTTACCTTTGTCTCTAAGAACAGTTTAGTTCTTTTTGTTCACTTACGTGCTTTGATTGTCCCCTCTGAATTATAGGCCAAGACTTGTTAGCCTAAGAGAAGATTTATTTAGTAATTTCTTCTCAGGTATGGAACCATGTTCAGAACTAATATGTTGGCCAGAATAGAACTGCTGGTTAAACATTTTATTCTCAATTAAATTGCCTTTATCAATATTCTGGATTAGACAACAAAATTCCCTTTCTGGGTGTTCTCTGTAAACTATACTCCTGTTTGAATGTTAAACTTTTGTTTCTAAAGTTTAATTTTAAGATGTTTGAATGTTCAGTTTATGTATTTGAACTACAATAAACCAACCATTTTTATATATGTGCATTGTATATGGTTACATCATTTATAAAAACTTGGTTTAGAAAGATCCCAAATTCAATCCCTGGTACCAAAAAAACTTGTTTTAAAGAAGCAGCAGATTGAGTTTGGCACAAAGTTAACTGTAAATCTGCAGTATTAGTTTATATTAATGTTTTTGTTTGTTTGCTTTTGAGACAGGGTCTCACTTTGTAGTTGAGACTCCCCAACTGACCTGGAACTCACTATGTCGTCCAGGCTGGTCTCGAACTCATAGCGATCCTCCTGCCTCAGCCTCCCAAGTGCTGGGATTACAGGCATGCAAGCCCAGTATTAGTTTTTAAAGGCATGAGTATAATATGGTATTTCTAGTATCAAAAGAAATTTGTAAAGAGCCCCCTCCTCCCTTTTTGGTGCTCAAATTTCTTAATACCTATCTATTGCTTGAAAGCAAGAAGACACAGATTTTTGTGTTCCATGATCTTGTTTTTATCTTATATTAACATTGATGGTGTATATCCTTTCAGCATATTAAAAACAACATACTAGGAAATTTGATTCTCAATTTCTTTTTTGGGGGGGATACTAGGGATTGGTATAAGGCCTTCACACTGGGCTATATCCCCAGCTCCTTTTTATTTTGAGCTCACTGAATTGACCAGGCTGAGTTTACAATCTTCCTTTTTCATCTCTTATAGATTGTCACATAAATCAAATGTGTAAGAAGTTATATATGTTAATAGGATAATTTATTTCCCCTGTTATTTCCTACCTACTATGATTGCAACAAAACCTAGAAAAGAGGAAGTACTAACACCTTTGTATTTGTGTTTTGTATGTTATACTCACAGACACAAATTGACACCCATATTACTTAGTAGTTAGTTTAAATGTATTAAGGGCCATAGTAGGAGATGTGAAATCGATGTAGAAACTTGGCCTTGCTAGATCAGACAAAGATCTCAACCTTTAAAACAGGCTTTGTATTTTTTCCCCTTGAAATTTATTTTTGTAAAGTGATTTTTTAAGTTTTATAAGGAATGAAATTGAAATGCTTGTCAAAAGGAACATAACTATTAAAGAAGTGTGAGTGCCCTGCAGAGGTTTTCTGAATTCCCCTTGGCATTGTGTGCCCACTCACCGTGTTCTGTTTCTCACAGTAATGCTGTGGAAGGAAGAAAGTGGCTTGGAGGGATCTGTTCCTAAATTCTACTTATCCTAAAAGTAAGGTGCATCTTAATTAAGCTTTCTGTGGAGATTTTTTTTTTTTTTTTTAAGGGATCAAGTCAGGGCAGGTTCTCAGTGAAAAATTCATTATAATTACAGTGTTCCACTATCTGTACCTTGATTGATTAGCCTCTTTGCACATCAGTATAGTCTGAAACTTGTGCCTTTGTTAAGATCATACCACCCCATTAAACCTCATTGTCCTAGTGGCGATTTTGAAATAATAACTCAAGACACAGCTTTAAGCCTTCAAAAATGATCTGAAGTAATACATAATTGTTTTTTATTTTTTTACAAGTTAAAGTGTCAAACACTGGAAGTTTTTATCTTACATTTTCTCTCTATATAATAAACTAATTCAAATGGTTCATCACAGTTGCAGTAATCCCTTGCATACTATGGTATCACAAAACAATATTTTGGATTCTTGGGTTAAATTACACTTTACTTGAACATGCAGATTTCAAATAAGATTTATAATGAGTTAAAAAAAAACAGCTCTACCTTCTGTATTTAAAAACGAATTGATTTCTTGTAAGAACACAAAGTGGAGAACATTTAAAATAATAGTTCTTTGCACAGACTATTGTTTTTGCTGCTTTTCCTTTTTTGCTTTACTGGGGGTTGAACCCAGGGAATGCTGCACTTGTCCTCAGACTTTTTATTTTGCTAAGTTGCCTAGGCTGGCCTCAGACTTGGTTACTCACCTGCGTTACTCTGTCAGTGTATATAATTACATCCACGTAGCTCCTTGCCTGGCTGCAGTATAAATTCTTTATATTTCATATTCTCCACTGCTTGCTTTAGAGGCTTTTTCCCCCACTTTAAAGACGCTCTCAGTGAAAGTACACCAGAATTTCCTAAGAAAGGTAGTGAAGAATCATGGATAAAAAGGTCCTTTTTAAAGAGAGGAGGGGATAAATGTATCAATTACTGTGCTTTATTAGCTATACTTTACCCTGCTATAAGATGAAGTAATTGTCTATTACTCAAAATATACCACATATTTAAGTATATAAATTTGGTTTCTAATGCTTTTCACTCTGCATTGGCTCTATGGTTTTTATTTTCTATTTGCCAATTTCTGTGTTAATGTTTGTTGTGTTACTCTCTTTCCTATGCTCTCTTAAGCTTGTTCTCGAGTTATTTTCATAACTTAGAAGCATAGCAATGTTTTAATAAGTTGAACAGTGTAAGTTCATTGCTATGGATTAATTTAATATCTTTTAACAAGAAAGGTGATCACCTTTATCTTGTCTTGCCTTTGATCAGTTAATGCCCATCTCATTAACCCTACTTTGTGGCTGATCTTGGGAGAAAAATACTGGGAGGAAAATTCTGCTTGTTGAAGAGCAGCTGTCAACCTGTGTTTTAGAAAAAAGGAAAGTCAGTTTCTAAGTTCTTTTTTCCATATAGGTATAGGATGATGTCATTTTAGGTTGCTGAAATGCTCGGACTTTGGAACTGAAGACTCATTTAGATGGCTTTAAAAGATGATTAAAGCAGTCTTTATGATATAAGGCAAAGTCTGAATTAAATTTGGCCCAAAACAGCCCCAGTTTGGAATTAGTCCAAAAATTGGAGCAAGGTGGCATTTCTTGTCCTGTAAGATTTGGTCAGGAAAACTGTATGGGTTTTCATCAAGTAAATTGACACTTAAACAAGTGAGGATAACCCATTAAAATGTATTCAGTGTGTTAAATTCTTATATGGTGTACAGTTTGAGCTTTGGTTATGAGGAAACCCAATAGATAAAATTAGGGGCAGCAAGTTAAAGAACCTGAAGGTGGATAAGCTTAGCCTTGGACAGAATCAAAGGCTCCGGCTAGCGCAGTACAGCGTTAGGAATGGCCCCAAAATGACCCAGTGAAGATGCACTGTGAACCAGTGACAAGAACAGCTGGGCGCTCTACCTCAGCAGCATCTTTCCACAGCTCTGAAGGCCGACTGGACAGCTAGGTTATAATTCCAAAGCATAATCATTAAATAGTATTTTACCTACCACATTGTACATTTTGAAAATGCAGAATGTGAAGCATTTTATAATGTCTAATTTAATAATTTTATATTTTATATGGCAAAGTCAGCAACATTAATAAGCAGTGTAAATAAATAACAATAATCACTAGTTTTCTTTGCAACTTAAAGCTATTTACCGCGACCCTCTGACTCTTGATCTTCATGTTCCCATGGGATAGGGTCACTGTCTTGTACAGAAGGATCAGTGTCCCTCTCGTGCCAAAACTGCTCAACATCCGGGAGGATGGGAACCTCTGCCTTCCAGGTTTTTTCTTTGCTAGAGTTGGGAGAGCCAGGCTTCTCTCTCTCTGGAATGGATGGTGGCGACTCTCGGGATGGAACCTTGTCCGGAAGGACCTCCGTTTTAACAGCCGGGGTTTCCCGAGACGCCAGAGCATTTGTGTTTTTGGTTACCATCCACTTCCACAAGGCTTTCAAGCCTTCCTTGAACTCTTCTGACATCACCAGAAAAATGAGAGGATTTGCTGCAGAGTTGGAAAATATTAGGACTTGAGACAGGGCTATGAAACCCTGAGGTGGGGTCGGGCCTCCAGCCTTCAGGTGCCACACCCACAGCCACGCAATCCACTCGGGGAGACACAGAAGAGCCGAGGTGGTGGCAATGCTCAGCAGCATCACTGTGAGCTGCTTCGAACGCATCTGATTTCTAAGATTTTGAGTCTTTGTTCCTCGTTTCTTACATTGGCTGTAAGCTCTCCAAAAGTAAAAGCTGGCCAGAAGTAACGGAAGACAAAATACCAGGAGAGGGTAGAGCTTACCGAACACTGACATGAACTCTTTGGCCCTGGCTGGTACATCCACGAGGCACATACGCATACCTGCATGCTGTCTGGTGGTGCTAAAAATCCATTCTGGAAGAGGCAGCAGGCTGGCCACAGCCCAGATAGCCACCAGCACTGCCCAGATGGTGCAGTTGTGGATACTTACTTGTCTGGCTGGGTCACTGGTGTACATGAAGCATACTTTGGCCACTGCCACTGTTGTCAGGCTCTTGGCTGCCATGCACGTGTGGGTGAACCAGTCAGAGGACTTGCAGACAAACCAGCCTAGATCCCAAACACCTTTGAAGTATGCTGTAGCTCGTACAGGTGCGGAAAACAGCAGGAGAGAGAGGTCAGCCAGACTGAGATTGAGAATCAGGGAGTGGATCATGGATGTCTTTCCTTTCCAAGCATTGTGCAGGAGGATGCCAATCACGCACACGTTCCCCACGAAGCCTACCAGGCACACAGCCACCAGGAGAGCTGGGATGACGGTCCTCCAGTCCTTGGAGTCAGACGGCAGATACCCTCCAGCAAAATGGAGGTGAGCAAAGGAAGCATTCATGGTGCTGGAGTTGGAGTTGGCCAAGGCAGCTGCCGGGGTCGCCTTTGCCATCTGGCTCTTTCTTACAGAGCTTAGCCTCTTCTTTAGGGTTGTCTTTCTGCCTTGGCTCTTTATCCCATAGGGAGGGGAAAAGAAACCCTCTGTCGTCAGTGTCGCTCTGGACCCTCCTCCTCGCTGGTGGCTGAGGGCTGCCGGAAGGTTGACTGCCAAGCTCATCTCTGCTATGTGCGCATACCCGGAGCGCACTGAACCAGCAGCGGAACGCGGGGCTGCTGCTCATTAGCAAGTCTGATTCCAAACACCAGCCCTACAGAGGAATAAAAACACTCATAAATGATAAATGAAGAGCACCTATATGTAAGTGGGACAGGTTCCTGGGGGGTGGCAGGGGCGGATCGCTACAGTCAAGGCAATTATTTTTTCAAACAGCTGTTTCTAAAATTTTACTCTGGTCTGTAGTTCAGCAAATTTACAGCAAATCCGAACCAAGCACAGTGGACCTTTGACTTAGGAACTCGATCAGTTCCTGAGGGCTGGTTGTAACAAGCTGGTTATAAGATAATACAGCTGAGATCTGGATGTTTCCCTGGGTTCATGCTATAGATAACAAGAGCAGATTAGTCTTTCATTAAACTAATTAATCCAAGTTGTTCGTATGCGAGGCCAGTTGTAACTCGTTCATTGTTCTTTATACTTAAGCATGCATCAGAATCACCTGGATAGTTTACTCTGGCAAATTTGGACTAGGTCCCCCCCATGCACATTTCTAACAAATTCCTGTGGGGTGCAGATGATGGTGGTGGAGAGTCCACTCTTTGAGAACCAACCCAGAATCAACACTGCTGTTCCCCACCCCACTTGGCAGAGACAAGCTGCTGCTTTTATCCAACCTTCTCCACCACCTCAGCGCTTCCTTCAACAGCTGGCTGATAGCAAGCTCAGCTGGATAATGAGAAACAGGAAGAAGTCCTATTAAATCTAATCATGGACCACTTAAGTTTTAGTCCTTGTGAGTTTTTAGAAGTGATTTTGGAGCTCTGGATTAGAACTGGTTTACATACTAATCACATTTTCCAACAAGTGATGGTGATGAAGGCACCCAAATGATGGATTTAACTGCTATTCGGAGAAAATTCCTAAAGGATTCACCAAGACAGGAGAAATAAAAGGGAAATCACCAATTTCTATATTGAAGGCATATAAGAGCTTTTAAATAAAATGGCATTGTAAAGTTTGGAAATGAAAAACATCCTCGGATAAAATTCTACAACCTGCCTGAAGTTGAAAAATGTTACAAGGCAGTGGATACTCTGCAGGGGATTAGAGAAGCTAGAAAAACAGGTTTGTGGAGGTGAAATGAAGATGCGTTCTACCCTGTTCTACCCCGAGTGTGGCTGACTCAATGATTTGTGCAGAGAGTGAGCTGGGCTAGAAGTCAGGCCTCTGGATTCTGGAACTAATCCAGCTTCCCCCGTTTCTGGGGGAAAGGACACGGCTGACATTTGAAATTCCTCACAGACTGAGAACTCAGTAAGTGCTAACCATGTGCTCCTGGGGAAAACTGTCAGTACTACTTGGTTAGTTTCAGATTGTCTCCTCCCTTTTCCTCTGGGAGGTAGAACAGTGAGTCCTCAGAAGTAGGAGTGGGAAAAGGCAGTGGCTGCTGATAGGCATAAAGGATCTATTTTGGAGAGAGACATTTTTTAAGTGGGACTGTTGGGGTATCTGTACGACAGCAATTTCACTAAAATCTTAAATTGTACTCGGACTGAATTTTGCGGTACATAAATACTACTTCAATATATTTTTTCAAGAAAAGATTATTTGGGATAGAAGTAAGGTTAAAGAACAGACTTCCCTGCTCTTAGGATGCTGAATTTCCTCTGGCGGAGGAGACATCCTCTTCTGAAACTGAAAAGTTTTATTGAGAAAGCAGTTGGGACCTAGAGGGGCCAAAGCAAAAGATGGTGCTAGGTGGGAAGAGATCTGAGGGCAGCCGAGAAGGGAGACCCAGAATGCAGGGAGTTTGCAGCCTCTGAGGCCTGCTTTCTTTCATGGCTTTGCTTCCACAAGCATTGCCACAGCCCTGGCGAGCGGCTGCCACTTCCAAATGCCACAGCTGGGCCTGACATTGCTTTTCTTGACAGGGACACCACCCACAGGGCCACTGCCAAGAGGTAACCTTTGGAAATGAGAAGCAGTAGTAAAATGCATTTTGAGCTATACACATTCAAAAACAATTTTTTATAGTCAAAGTGGAATTTATATATAAATTGCAAGGGACCTCAGCTAGCTTAATCTTCAAAAGAATCCAGACCAAGAAAATTAGTGGCCACCCTTGTAACCAGCTTCTGATAAAGCTCAGCTAAGTCTGACCTCTTACTGACAGTGACAGGGGATGAAAGCCTCGTACCTCAGCTCCAGAGTATGGCTAATAAATGTGTCATGACATTCATTTAGCGAGTGTGCCCCAAGTGCCAGTGTGTGAGCCATGTGTTCCAGACCCTTGAATCCTCATGACAACTGGAGAAGAATAGAAATACCAATCCCAACTTACAGATAACGACCCTGAGAAAGAGAAATGTAATAACCTGTCTGTGGGTCTGTAGACCATACACAATACATGCTAGGGTTTGGGTGGGAGCCCCCAGGGAGCCTGACTTCAGACTTGGGGTCCAGAGCTGTTTGTAAATTATGCTCCCTTGACCACCAAAGAAGTTGTGGGGTGCTCTTCTTTAAGCAATGAAGTTCTCCCATTTAGATAGTTCAGTTCAAGGGCATTTATTGAGCATTTTGGCACTGGAAAAATAAAACGTGCAATTTTGGTGAATATTTCCTGAGCGCTTCTCTGGGCCAGGTATGATGCTAAACCCAAGTGGATGCCTTTGCTTTTGGCGCTATAGTCTAGTGGGAGAGACAGACAAATCTCAGTGACAATGTCCTTGGAGACTCCTGGGTGCTGCGGATGCCTGGAGTGGAGGGGGTTGAAGGAGGGTCCAGCAAAAGCTTCTTGGAATAGTGCACCGGCTCGCTCATTTCTGCCAGAACTCCCTTTGGAGCTCACCGTTGCTGTGTTTTCAGTACTTCTGCATTTGACTTACCAGGAAACAACTGCTACTGCTTCTCAGAGAACTTAACCCTGGTTGCTTCCACCTGTATGAGTTACCCACCCTCCTCTTCCTACAGGTGTCCAGGCTTTGAGCGCTACAGGTAAAGGTGTGCGTGGAAGGGGGCCTCGTGCTGGGCCTTGCTGGCCAGTGGCAGTTTGCTGTCTGGGTGGCGATCTGCAAACCACACTCAGCTCTTACCATCGCTTCCCTGCCACCCTGCCATCGACAAAAAAGGCTGTTGTGGATGGTCGGTGTTTCTTCCTTTGCTGACTACTGTACGTTGTTGAGGTTTCCTGGCTCTAGCCCTCTGCTTGTACTCTTTTTTGACTGCAGTTCCCTAGCTTTTACGGAGTAGCTTGTGCTCCGAGGCCCTCCTGAGTGAGAGGACTATTGTGTATTTAGTGTGTGGTGTCCCAGGGCATCATTAGAACAGTAATCCAGCTCTAAGGGAAGTGAGCAGTATGGTGGGTCGGGGTGGCCGCTCCTATCGGAGGCCTCTCTGGTTTAGGCTGTTGGTTTAGGTAGCTCTTGCATCCCACTGTGGGGAAGGTGATGGGAGAAACTGATTGTGCCCTTAGTTACAAGATGGTCATCAAGTCTGGATTTCATCATGTTACACAAGAAGCCATTTCTTACATATTTGCTTATGTTTCCAGATTGATGAAAACCCTGTATCTTGCAAATTTGATGGACCTGTCTGTAAGATCCAGGGACTGGGATCGAGGAGACTGAACCCTGCCTCCGAAAAGTGAGACTGTCAGATGAGGAAGGAATCCTTTTGGCTTGGCTCAGATCTGTATTTTACAGGTGTGGAGGGGGACAGACGCTCTCAACACGTGAGTGACTTTTCGTAGAGGTGAGTAAGGTGCGAGCGAGGAGTGCGGGAATCTGTGCTCCCAGGAAGAGCTGTTGCTTTCTTCACTCTGTCCTACTTTTTCCAGCCTGGGTTATTTTTCTTTTTTTTTTTTTTTTTTTTTTTTTTTTTTTTTTAT